TCTGCTTCAGCTAAACGGGAGGCACCTTAGTTTCGCTGGATAGGAGGGTCCTGGTAGTTGAGGGGCGAGTTAGGCACCTCGCCCCTCAACTACCAGGACCTTCCTATCCAGCGAAACGGGTCGCCACGCACAGCAAACACATGGACAGTTTTCTCGCCACTCAGGAAACAAGAGACAAGGGCCGTTCCAGTTCATCGTGACGAGCCGCAAACTCCGAAGAGAGAAACCACAAGGGAGAAGGGAAGGGAAAAAGTTCCAGCCAAGAGGAGAGGAGACGGAAAAGAGGATAGATCACTGGGGCTCCAGGATCGTGACACCCGTCTCACCAAGAAGATGATCCCCTGAAGGGCTAGGGTACCTCGGGATTGCCACACCCGTACTCACAAAAGTGAGCCCCTGAGGGCCCAAATTTATTATTAAGCATAGCTTTCTTCACATTTATGTCATATAATTTTAACCCTCTGAGCGGCCAGGGAATTCACTAAGAAAGCACAAATTTCCCAAAACTAGTATGAGAACAAATTATGTTTTTGATTTTAACGTAAAAACTCTCCTAATTTCATATCGGGTTGTGTACTTTTGATATATTGCCTTAATTTCTTTGACCTATTTTAATGTGCACGTATATATACGTTCTTACAGATATCATAAAAAATATTCTAGGCCATATATATACGGCCTTGCCGCTTAGAGGGTTAATTAAATCATTCATTTGTGATCAGCTGCTCCTTGAAGAAAAGTATTTAACATATTAATTATTGATATAACTAGTAACTACCTATATGATAATTTCTTTGAATAGTATAGCTAAATACAATTAAAATTACTGCAACTTAAACAAAAATTTAGTGTAATTCATAACTGCAGGAAATTAATAACTAAACAAATTTGCATTTAATCGAAATTTTCAGTTCTGACAAATACATTTAAATATACTACAACTGCAAAAAATTTTAATGATATAAAAATGTTATTTTACTTATTATAATAATAGTTATAATATGTAATAGCCATAATTTTGAAATGAGAGAGAAAATTGCTTACTTGATTCTAAAAGAAAAACGCTCCCGGTAGAATTTGTTAGAAAATGTAGAATTTTTTTGGAGAAAAGACTTGAGTTTTTTACAATTTTTTGCATTTTCTTCTAATTTATCCTTTCTTTTTTCAGGATGTTCCATATTAAATGGTTTAGATTGACTCAATGCAAATTAAAACATTATTTCTAATAAAGCACAACAATTTTTTTAAGAAAATGTAATTTTGCAGACGTCTAATCTATCACATTAACTTTTCTCTTCCTTATGGTCAAGTTGACTAGCTAATGGTTATTCCTACAATTTAATAAATTGTATCAGTTCTATTTATTGGCCTGCCTTCTTTTAAACAGAAAGTAAGTGTGTAAAGAGTATGTGCCTATGTGTTCGTGCTACTTTAAGATGTGTACTTTTTTTGGAAAATTAGTAGAAACTTTAAAAAAAAAATAAACTTTTAAGAATAAATACCATCTAGAATTTAAAAGGGAATAACTATAATTTTAAAATTTTAGGACATGAATCTAAACTGTTATATAATGCAAATGAATGCAGCCTATAAACATATTAAAACTATTGTAAAAACTGTAGTAGAACTTCAGTTTTTGCAAAATCAAGCCCATATCAGCAAAATGATTTCCATCGAAAAAGTGATTTTATTGATTTGTAGCTTGATGTCGAAGATGTATATGATTTTTGTGTAAGATGAGTTATAAAACCTCAATTTATGCAAAATCAAGCCCATAACCAGCAAATTCCATCAAAAAAGTAATTTTATTGAATCATGGTTTTGGCTTGATGTTGATGATGTATGTGATTTTGCGAATAAGTCAAACTTTTTATCATTCTAATTAGCATTCCATACATATTTATTATTGTATATATAATTGAGTATGCCAAAGCACATGAAGTTAACGATCTGTTATCTGTGGGAAGGGATGTCTTTATGGAGGACTTTTTAAGGGAAAGTTGTTTATACTTAGATTACACATAAAGGAAACCACAAAAGTATTTATATAGTCAGCCCATTCACTGAGATTCTAACCTATATGTCAAATTAGCACTGTTGAGCGATATTATACTTTCTGTGAACTAATGGCTTATCTACTTTTTGTGTTCTACTATTTCTCCTGTTTAATACTTCCTTTTATTTCATAATTATCTGTAAATTTACCCGAAACACAGATGCATGCAAAATAAATAAATAAATGCAATAAAAATAATAAAATAACTTGGCAGTGAATAAACCATCTGCGTATTTAACAGCTGCTCCATTAAATCATTTTAAATAACAAATACTTTAACTACTGGATGACTAACAAAATAAAATCCATTTTAGTGAAAACATCAAAGTTAACATGCTTTCTGTATTATTCAACAAAAAAAAAAGGTTTTTTTTTTTTTTTTTTTTTATTATTATTAAAAAAAAGTTTCTACTTTATTGACTTAACTGAAATTTGAAAGTAATGTAAAAATCGCTCAAAATTATTTTACCAAGTTCCCTCGTATCTCTTGCACAATATTTGCATAATAATTAGTAAATACAGTCAAATACCAAAAATCCACGAACTCCTGAAATCCGCATTGCCTCTCAAAATATAGACATTCAGTTTATAGTTTCCGGAAACAGCAACATTGAGTACGAAATATCAAAGAAAAAATACTTACTGAATAATGATGTCATAATTACCGAATAATAATGAGTCATAATGGAAATACCAAATTATTGACATTAAAAAAATTTTTAAAATAAGATAAGGTTTTTCCCTCTAATCTCTGCATCGAGGTATAAAAGCAGACGACGTTTCACTCAACTCTTTGTTCAAGTTCACGATTCACGTTGTTGTATTTTCTGAGCTTTGTTATTTCACGAGATTATTTAGTGCTGCCTTTTTTGTTTATCCTGATATTTTGTGGATAAATTAAGAATATTTAATTTCAGCCCTGTTTAATACAATGACCATAAGAATCACTCATGATTTTATACTGCAATGTTGAAACATAAACATTGCATTGACGCTAACGCAAAAAGTGGAAATTCTGAAAAGATGGAGCAGGGCTATCTCCTCGATTTATAGCAGAATGGTAGCAATTGCGACATGATTGTGTATATATCGGAAAAATAAAGAAAAGCTGTTTTAATTTTACAGCAGCAACAGTGATTCTTCACCGGAAACTTTGCATGAGGCAAATCGCAAGCATCGAGCTGTGCAACATATAATACAAATAATAAATCATTATATATGTAATACTTTAATGCATATAATAAATTATTGCAATAAGTATAAATAATTAAATGTATCTAATATGCCTTATTTTTTTGCACTTTTAGTCGGAATATTATGCTTTATCTTTTCTGTCCTGAAATCCTAAACTCCACACAACCTCTGGTTCCAAGCTTTGAGGATTTCTGGGCTTCTACTGTATTAAAATTAAATACTCCACCTTTTTCTTAGTACTTAATTCTTATGATTGTTGTAATTTTAGGGCTTTTCCTTTTGCTTCTTTAGTGTCTCCATTTTCAAAGAATTGCAACACTAAGCTTTTTAGCTAGAGGAAAAAGAGACTGAATATGGAAGACTATTCAAAGCTGTAGAAGGACAAGAACAAAAGCTTTATGACTTAAAACATCTGAAGCATTTTCTTGCCACTTGTTTGGTGGGGCAAGATGACTTTTCCTGATCTTCTTCTAAATGGGAAATTGTAAACCTTTCTTTTCAATCTTGGCTAATCACACAAATATTTTGGGAAGCTGGAAGGCAATATTTTAAAAATTTAAGTCTTCTCTCTAGTGAAAATAACTTAGCACTTTTTTCTTTTTGAAATATAGGTAATGCTCAAGCAGGGGGGAGGTCTGGCTATGTACCTGCAGTAGCAGCTAAAGCTATATATGTAATGTTATCACAAATTAAGTAAAAGAGAAAGTTTGTGTTATTTCTCACATTGTGCTATTTCTGTTCTTAGAACTCCAAAATTCCAGCAGTATGAAAAAAAATCAGTCTCTAAACCAAACAACTAATATTTATTCCGTGTTACAGAAGGATTATCTGAAAACTGAACAAGGAGTAATTTACAGAAGATTAGAAGTATAACTGTTATAGTAATCATCTTCTATGATTTATGTAGCAAACTACTTACAGACTGTATTTTTGGAGACCTACAAACTGTTGCTAATTGTTGTTACTATTCCAATGGCCACTGCTGAAGCTGAGCATTTCCTCTCAACTCTAAAATGAGTTAAGACCTTTTTAAGAAGCACTGTGAACAAAGACAGACTTAAGTGCTCTAGCCATGCTGTCAGTTGAAAAAAGCATGATGAATGGCATACCTAAATTTAGTGAAAACATTGATTTGTTTACCTAATAAAAGGTAGATGAGTGGATTTAATTTACAAAAATTATACTTGGCTATTTTGTAATTAACATTCAAAAATATATTGTAAGCAATATTAGAGTTTTATTGCATTCCATTGTAAGAAATAAAATGGTGCATTTTTTTACCTATGAGAACTTGCTTTCTTTTAGTAGCATTGTTTTCCTTTAACCTGTGAAAGCACAAATGTATTTTAACTTTTAAGTTATGTAGAATCTGCGTGTTTAAGCCGTCACTGGGTGGATGTATATAGGAGACAAGAAAAATTGTTACTTTTATTCTCTCCATGGACATGTTTTTGCTTAAAAAAAATCAGAGAACGGCCAAAATTGAACATTGTGTACTTTAAACAACATATGTATGTGTGTATGTATATATTACACACACATGTTATAAGAGTGCAGTTTTCCTTTTTTGAAGAATAGTGTTTTATAATTTATGCCAAATTAATTTTAAATTTTGTTGAAGCCCTTGTGGTGGTTGCTTTAATTAGGTACCGTAAATTTACTATTTTTTGTACTATTATTATTATCAGTATTATATTATGTATATAAAAATATAAGAAAAAATTTAATGGGATTTTATTTTTTATATCAGAAATGCTGAGTGTAGACGCATAGCAAGTGCCTCCAAGGACTGTACAGTTAAAATATGGGATATCATAATGGGCCAGCTTTTGTATACACTTTCTTCACATACTGCATCAGTCACTTGTGTGAAATGGGGAGGTAGTGGGCTCATTTACTCTTCTTCGCAAGATCGAACAATTAAAGTGTTTAGAGCAAGTGATGTAAGTGTTTTAGAACTGAATTTTCTTTTATTTAAGAGCTAATAATTTGCTATATATTTCTTTAATTTCTATGTATAGAGAAAATTCATTGTTACATTTCTACATTTTACGATTTGTTACATTATACATTATAATTCATTGTTACAATATAGTGTAATAACTGTGAGGTCCTGAAATTTATTCTTTGAAATGCATTACAAGTTTTCTCACTGCTTGTGTCTTTTAATTAGTAAATTTCCCTGTTTTGCTTATTTTCTTTTTTATAGTTATACATAACTGTTGTTAATACAAAGCACCTGCATCGTTTTCTAAAAGAAATATTCTATTCTTCTCTAAAAGAGATCTGATAACTTCTCCTTTCAGTTACACACCAAAATATTTTTTTCCTGTAAATCGCTATTCCTTCTGTAACAAAATACCCATAAAAGCATTCAGACTTTAGTTTAGAATCTCTGCTAATTAAAGGAAAATTAATTTGATGCAATAATTATAATGCTTTTAAAAAATGCAATAGAATTAATAGTGATTAGAAATGAATGATTTTCATTAATAGAATTTTAAATGAAGCAATAACTCTTTATTATTAAATTCTTAATAAAAGAAAAAAAAAATGTCACAAAAGACTTCTCATTCCATTTCCTAGAAATGAATAATTTTCACTGAGAGAACTTTAAATAAAGTAATAGCTCTTGATTATTAAATTCTTAATAAAAGGGGGGAAAACATCACAAAGACTTCTCATTCCTTCTCCAGCTAGGCAACCAAGTTTTGATGTCTTGCTTTTCTGATAACCAGATCATCCATAACCTGTCCTTTCATCACCAGCCTGATTCTTCAGTACTAAATGGACTTAAGCTCGTTCAGTGTTAAAGGCCCCTTCCTGGTGCCAAAAAAGTTACAAAGGCACTGTTAGATAACATTGTTAGAGATTGAAAGTTGCTGTTAAGGCATGAAAGATATAAAGAAGTCGTTTTGTGACTGCTCACTTACTTACCTTTGCTTTTTTATAAGAATTCAGCCTCTATATTACGAGCAGAACTCGCCAAGCTTCAAAATGGAAATAACCAAGAAGATGTATTGCACTTAAAATTGGGAGGTCTAAAATCTTATGTGAAAGTACTTCATGCTTTAAAATTTAAAGACTGATTATGCTATAAATCTTTGTAATCTTAATACAGTCAGTATTAATGTGTGCACAAGTTCTTGTGTTCTTGTTGTAAAAATATAGCTGAATCTAGATTTCTTGAATTTTTTGTATTTTCTTAACAAAAGTCTGGTCAGAGCATTTAACCCGGGAGCACACACATTCATATGAGTTACATGAGCGTGCATAGTGCATCCAAGAGACCTGATTCATGTTTTTTGCAGAAAATATGGTAAATCTTCAGAAAACGTGTTACATTTATACCAATCATAAATTTTATTATGGTTTTTAATGTAATTTTTTAACCTTTAATGTATCATAATAAATTTTATTATGATTTTAATGTGCAAATTTTAAAAATATGCACATTAAAATTATAATTTCTTCAAATGCTTTTATGAAATAAAATTTCTGAAAGGAATAGAAAATCGTATTACATATTAGCATAGGGGGAAAGAATTATATACTTTTTATACTATATGTAATTCTCATTTTGAGATCTATATCAGTTTCTGAATCAGTATCATGTGAATTAAAAATTCATAATCACTTCCATCCTCATTTTCAAATCTCAGATTATGCAACTTGTTTGCCACTTTCTATACTATCACAAATCAACTATGTAATAGTAATACAAATAGGCATGCTGGGTCTAAAAGACCTGATCCGATCAAAATCAAGACTCTGAATCAAAGCCCCAGCGAAAAATCTTCGGAAACATAAAGAGATAGACCTATGACATGACTACATTGGACTTTAATAACTTGCGTGAAATAGGCATGCTTTGAGAAAGGTTTGTTTAATAGCATGTGCTCGAGGTTTAAATTTAAGAAATATTTTACCCTAATATATTAAGCTCACAAAAAGTTCTTTGTATCTAATTTTGAATTTTTTAGGAATTTTAACTAAAAGAATAAACTTTAGTTAGAGAGTATGCTGGGTGGCAATTTTTAATGTTTATGAATCCTATTCATTGTAAGTATGAATTATAATCATTTCAAAAACTGGTATGGTAGAATTCCCCTTCCCTGCCTCCCAATTAAACAACAAGTGAACTAGTTTCTAAATTTAATAAAAGTTTTCCTGTTTACAATAAAAGGTAGATAAGTGTTAGTCAAATAAACATTGAGAAATATAAAAGTAAAATTACAAACTGTGACATTTACTCCCTGTGTGTAGGATGCAATGAGTTCTATCAAAAATTCTTCAATGAATATCATCAAACCCTATCAGTAATTGATTTGAAGAGGCTGGACTTTCATTGCAAGATACAATGGAATCTATTTGCTATTAAAGAGAATTGTGAAGTTGTATTAGCCCTCTCACTGCTTACTTTTTTTATCAAAGTAGGTTAAAAAATTGCGTATTTTTTTATTACATATTTCAAATCTACATATATTTTAGAGTTAAAATATACAAAACTTTTTTTGTAAAAGATTTTTTTTTTCCAATGTAGAATTTGATCATAGAAAAAGGTTGTCAGAATAATGAAATTGAAGAATAATGACATAAAAGGAAAATTTTGAAAATTAACCCCTTCGAGCCGGGTAGCGAAAACGCGCGCTTATCGCGGAGGCCGGCAGTGTCTTACGCGAGCGTCGTCTCTCTCCAGGGCCGGGGCTTTTTTCCTACTAAGCCTAAATCCATGAAATTTCCGAAGTATCAACGCATTGTTTATAATGCCTATAAAGTATTTAAACGGCTTATGCTTTATAGATATTTTTATATATATACTTTAATTACCTTATTTCTTGTTTAAATGCATATTTTACACATTTTATTTTAATTACTCACCATTTTATGACTTTTAACATTATACATCTGAAACTAATATATACTTAAAATTCTCTTTTCGTATGAAAAATTTGAAAACAGAGATCTAACACACAGTCCTTTACATTTCTTGAACTCGTTAACTCATTTGCCGTTGGGGAGGATTTTTTTTCCGGGAATGTGAACAACGAAGCATCGGCGTCTCGTTTTCTATCAGTCTCTTTCCGAACAAAGTTTTGGAAAATGTCGTTTCAGTTAATCTTCCAGAATCAATATCAGATATCAAATTTCAGAATCAATATCTGAAATATTTTGCATCATTTCTGCTATTTCATGCTCTGTTAAACATTTTCGACGCTCGACATTGAAACGTAAAAAACAGAAAGAATTCACGTCTAACAAGATTTAATTATTTTCTAAAACTGAACTGTAAACAAAATACTCACGCTTTAGCGCATATAAAACTTCTACTTGCAATAAACAACTACACGTGCGAATAAAGTGCGATTTAAAGAGACGTCATAAATCACGCCATTCGGAACATTTAGTTCCCCGTTTGTTATAATCAAAAAACACGTGTATGTGAGTCATGCTTCTCGCATTTCGTTAGAGGTCTATATGTATATGAAACCATATGGACATACAGTGCCATCTTGTGGCAGAAATTATAGTTTGAAAAACGTTCCAAGGTACTGGCACAAATGCTGACAGTCCGGTAGAAAACGCAACAATACTCTGGCACGCCTGCGTGTCGGCCGGTAGATAAGTGTGTTCGTTGCTGGCACGTATATGTGACAGTCGGCGCGAAGGGGTTAATATTGGTTAAATTATGATTTAATTTATAAAATACAAAGGTAAAACTTATATACCAATAAAAATATTTGCATAATGTAATATTTTGCATCACTATCAAAACGTTTTCAATAGAAACTGAATTTTCAGATTTATCACTATCCGCAGAAGAATCCGAGAAATTCTCATCAGTTTCGCTATAACTATCTTCAATATACTTGAAATCAGAGTCAGAACTACTATCAGTGTCGGAAATATCGTCAGGAATATAAGTTATATCATTCGCAAAACGCTTCCTGCCAGACAACTTTGAGCTCTGAAAAGCATGCTCAAAGTGCTACATTACTTATTCTTGCATATTGGACAGAAATGTGGGCAACTAACACCATCTAAGCCCACATCTAAGTAAACAATTAAACATCACAGAAAAAGCCGAAAGGAAACCTTGAACGGGGAAAGAGCGGGTTGCACAGTTAAATAGATGGCAAAAATTCATCCCCCCGCGGAAATCGCGGGTTGCGCAAATTTTGCTACTTCTATGTTGCGCATAGAAATCGCGGGATGCGCAGCGAGAGGGTTAATAAAATTTGACATGTCTAAAATTTTTTCCAAATTGAGCACCTTGAGTATTTTGATTTATTGATCTTCAGGCAAAAGTCTGATGATTATGGTGAAAAAGTAAGTAATGAATCCTAAGTTGAATGTGAAAAGGAAATACAATAGATCATACAAGGTCTGTTCCAAAAGTAATGCACCCCATTTTCTTCTGTTGCGACTACCCATCACACAGCATTGCCTCTTACATGGGAAGGTGTGTGGAGTTTTGAGAAAACAGCACATCCAGCACCACTCGGCTCCAAGTTCCTGGAGAGTCAGTCATGTTGCCTGTTTCAGTGTTTCAGTGAACCCTTGTGCGAGTGCTCGGTCGAAATCAAGGTGGAAAAAAATCTGGAGCAACGATACGCTAAAAGTTTTGTTTCAAACTTGAGAAAATGCCGTTGGAGACTTTTGATTGGAGATTAAAAAAGATATTTGATCATCGGAAATTAAAAAATCCCTCAAAGGACAGCATTTGGGGACCCTGGAGAACGTCAAGGTGGCTACAACAAGGTTAATAAAGGACATCCCTGTTATGGACTTCCAGGATGCATATAAAACATGGAAATCACATTGGAACATGTGTATTAAAGCAGGAGGGATGTATTTCGAAGAATATTGAGTAATTTTACAAATCGGTTCAATAAATTTCTTTTAAAAAAAAAAAGTAGGCACATTATTTTCAGGACGGACCTTGTATTTATAAATGCTATTTCTAGTCTAAACACAGAGGTGTTCTTAAAAAAATAGGAAATAAAAGGTGGAATATTTAATGCTTCTGAAAATGATAAATGAATTTAGAGAGGAAATCTTTGAAATAAATGCAACCTTGAACAAATTCTAAAAGTTTCTTTTGTTATTTCAAGAGTTGCTTTGTTAGCATGTGAGCCATCCAAATAGTAGTAATCCCCCCCCCCAATTTTTTTTTTTTTTTTTTTTTTTTTTGACCAGTAGCAAATTGTCTTTGCCTGCTTAGATCTGAATTAGTTTGAACTTTCAAAAAATAAACAATTAAGTTCAGAACAAGGACATTGAAAAAATTAGATCAACATAATAGTAAGAACATTAAAAAAATTAATTTCTAATTAATCTTTGAATACAAATTTACTAAAAATTTCTAACAAAGTTAAATAAGAAATCACTCTTTACATAAGTATGTTTTTACTTGCTTTAAAACATGCTTAAAAAGTTTTAGTTGTTGTGTGTTTGAGCAGTGTCAGTGTATATAAATTGTTTTTTATTTCTTAAGTTTTTCAAAGTTTTCTTGTAGTTCAGAAGTCAAGTTCATCTTCCATGTTCCGTTCTTAGCAAAAAAGACTTACATGTTCAGAAGACTGCACTCTAAAATTTCTTCATTACTCCTGTAATATCAAGATCATTACTGATTGCCAGATATTATTTAAATTCTAGATTTTCATTTTCTAAATTGGTGATAGTCGTTTCTTGTGCCTTGATGTTGAAGGAAAATCCTGCATGAGAAATATGGGTTTTTTTATGATGCTTTCTGTGACAGAATTGCAAACAGAAGCTATTATTTGTACAGTCAAAAGTCGTTAATTCGTACACACATAATCCGGAATGATCTATAATCCAGACCTCAAAGCTAAAAACTTTCTGCGCATGCACAGCATTGACATAGGCGCATAGGCGTTTACGCGTGCGCGTAAGAACTACACGACTGCGCATATGCGTGTGCGCAAATGCAGAATATGTTTTCGCGTGCACGTTTTATTTATAACGGACGGTATAAGCTAAAATTATCTAATTATCTATTTCGGTTAATGTTGATGATTGCGTTGTTCCTTAATCTTCGAATTGGATCCGGCTTATTATTTTTTGCAGATTGTAAGAGCAATTTTATAAAAGTAAACTTGAACTTTCGATTATGTCAAATAGAATTTCCAATGCTGGAGCTCCCAAAGGATCTACAAAACAAAAGTATGTTTCGATGTCTATCAAACAAAAAGTGGAAATGCTGCAAAAAAATGGATAAAGATAAGAAGAAGGTGACAGAGAGGTTAGTGAAAACGAAAAAATTTCGATCGACAAGTTAGTCGGTATTCTCGGCACAGCAATTACGGGATTTGAACAGCGGAACATTGTAACTGAACAAGAAATTATGTGTGTTTATAGAATTAAAAAGAAAGTATTATCACATAAAATGAAGCAACTTAAACAACTTACATTGAAAGAAATGTTTAATAAAGTAAACAAATAAATATTAAGCTTTTTTTGGTAAATTTTGATACCCTTTAGATCATAATTGTTTTTTATTTCATAAATTACGGTTTCATATTTTTAATTTTAGAATTTCTGCATGCCATCTTACGAGATTTAAACTGATGATCTATAATCCGGAATCGCTGAAGTCCCGACGAGTCCAGATTAACAACTTTTGACTGTATAGCATTTGTCACCATAATTTTGATTCTGTTGTTATTGACATTCTCAGTAAACTTTAAAGCAGTCTCTAGCAGTAGAAATGCTGCATTAGCTATAGCACTGCATATTTTTTAATATAGCTGTACTGTTGTAGTAAAATTTCTGCATTGTACAAGGGAAAAAAATTTTAAAGAGATTTTCAAACTGAGGATGGAAAATGCAGTGATCAAGAACCATTAAAATTTTTCGTGAAAAAAGTTTTATCCAGCATTCAAGGGTTTCTTTTTGTCATCCACACTTTTAATTTAATCTCAGGTTTAATAGATTAAAAAAACTTTTAAATTTTTTATGCAATGTTGTTAGAGTTTTCTGTAACAAGAGGTTTAATTTTTTCTTTCCCAAGAATGTGGTGGCAAAAAGAAAATTTAATTGCATTTAACTTCCCCCACACTGCTGTAATTTTTTTCTCTAAAAGGCCTCTCCTCTCTTTTTCTTTTTAAAGGAAATAAGTATTAAAATGCTCCATTTCATCACAAATAAAAATGTAAGATGCAAAATTGATCATTGACAATTGTTCTGTAAATCAGCATACAGTATATATATATATATATATATATATATGTGCATGTACACAGTCAAAAGTCTTTAATCCGGAATGATCTATAATTAGGACCTCAAGCTACAAACTTTCTGCGCATGCATCAATGCATTAATGCATGTGCATAATACCTTTACGCATGCGCATATGCATCTATGCATGCGCGTAATACGTTTACGCATGCGCGTTTAATGTATAACGGATGGTATAGGCTAAGCTAAAATTATCTAATTATCTATTTCAGTTAATGTTGCAGATTGCGTTGTTCCTAAATCTTTTATTTGGATCCGGCTTATTATTTTTTGCAGACTGTTAGAGCAATTTTATAAAAGTAAGCGTGAACTTTTGATTATGTCAAAAAGAATTTCCGATTCTGGAGCTACCAAAGGATCTACAAAGCGAAACCATGTTCCGATGTCCATCAAACAAAAAGTGGAATTGCTACAAAAAATGGATAAAGGCATATCCTTTGATTCTCTAATCATTCCGAAATATGTTTATCAATTTCATGCTGCTCTGCGGGGGGGGGGGGGGACACGGTGCGCAATGAACTGGAAGTTATCTGTCAGCACTATCCTTATCTTCAGGGCAGATGATTTATTTTATTCGGCTTATAATTCCTTACTAAATGTAGTATTTAATCTCGATGTACTCCGTCTTTGATATGATTTAAATCAAATTCCTCGTCATTATAAATATCACGAATACACATCAAATAGTTTTCTGGTTGCAATTTTCTAATTTCGACTATGTGTAATGTATGCTTTACGCATGCGCACGTTGAAAAACAAATAAATATAAAGCTTTTTTTTTTTTTTTTTTTTTTTGTTTTGTAAATTTTGATAAGCTTTAGATCATAATTGCTGTTTATTTCATAAATTACGGTTTCATATTTTAATTTTATAATTTCTGCATGCCATCTTACCAGTTTTAAACTGATGATCTATAATCCGGAATCGCCGAAGTCCTGACGAGTCTGGATTAAAGACTTTTGACTGTATATGCAAATTTATTAAACTTATACATTCTAATGCTTTATATTACAGCATTTGAAGCATTTATGATTTATATACTTGCTTTTTTTTTTCCATCAATAGGGTGTTCTGTGTAGAACTCTTCAAGGTCATGGTCATTGGGTTAATACTCTAGCTTTAAATTCAGACTATGTATTAAGAACAGGCCCTTTTGATCCTCGTCAAGCAGATCTTGTTTACCGAGAAGTAACTGAAACTCGTAAGTGTGTGAAAATAAAATCTGTCTTTATTGCACAAGTATCTTCTATTTTAAAACTATTATTAAAGAAAAAAGTGTTGCTTTAATAGTTATTTTATTTATGTATTTATTTTTTTAGCGAAACAGTTATCAGAAATGGCTTTGAAGCGTTATACTGCAGCCATGGTAAGCAGAGATATATTATATTATCATTAATTAAAAATGCCATATATAAAAAATTTATAAATATTCCTTTGCTTTTAATTATAAGCGAATGTCATTTGTAAAGTTTTACTGTATATATAGAAGACGTATTTTATGAAATTAAATGAAATGGTTTAATTTATTCAGATGTGTAAAAAAGAGTCTAGTTAGGAAATTAAATCAATGTATATGTAATCAAACTTTGTCTAATCAAAGATCTGAGCAACTAATTGTAGTATGCTCATTGGTACCAAGTAATATGTAAGAATTTTTTATGAGAACTTGCCTGCCTTTCCCCCCCCCCCCCCCCTCAGACTATGAATATTTTTGTCATTTTTATTTAACAATTCTGAGATTATTATGTTACATGTGCCAAGTAATTAAATTTAATCATCACTATTAATTACTGCAATTCATTTATATTTAACAAATAATGATACCTTTACCTTATGATTAGGTACATTTCAATTAACTGTATTTTTAGTTTATTTATTTATTTTTATTTAACATTCAAATATCATTTATCCATGCTTGCATGTGGAGGTAGTTTTTATTTGTTTTATGTGTACTTATAATAGAAATTTAAGATTAAATAAATATAAGCAAATATATATATATATTTGTATTTTCAGAATGGACAGCAAGAACTTATGGTTTCAGGATCAGATGATTTTACTATGTATCTCTGGAGTCCAGAAATTGATAAGAAACCTATCAATCGAATGACGGGTCATCATAATTTAATAAATGATGTAAAATTTTCACCTGATATGAGATTAATTGCAAGTGCATCTTTTGACAAATCAATAAAAATCTGGATTGGAAGAAGTGGCAAGTATGGTGACATCTGTGTATTATTTTTCTTGTTTAAAGAATCATTCTCATTTAATTTATGTGATACTAAAGATTAAATGAAGTTTTTTTAATGCCTAATTTGTATTAAGCATTATTTTTTGTTTGTTTGTTAGTTTATTTATCTATACCCACAATGATGTAAAAGTACTAATTATTTAGTATATTTATTTATTATTGTATTTTAGATTTTTAGCTACTTTACATGGCCATGTACAAGCTGTTTACCAGATTTCATGGTCTGCAGATAGTAGGCTTATAGTCAGTGGTAGTGCTGATTCAACTCTTAAAGTATGGGACATGAAAACCTGCAAGATCATGATGGACTTGCCTGGCCATGCAGATGAGGTTTGATTAAATTAAATTGTAATTAATCTAGTCTTCCTTGCATAAAAAGTTAATTTCTTAAATTGTTGCTTTTAATTTAGGTATATGCTGTAGATTGGAGTCCTGATGGGCAGAGAGTTGTAAGCGGAGGTAAAGATAAAGTAATTAAGATGTATGTAAAGTATTTATTTTTTTAAATTTCTAACATTTCATTAATTATTTAATTAATTTATTGAAATTATAATCTTGTTGTGTACTTGTTTAAAACATTTTTAAATATCCCACATAACAGAATGCCAGGTAACTTGAATCTGTAGTCTATTTAAAATTGATGTCAACAATATTCACTTTTTATACTTTTTGTCCTGTTTATGTATGAAAACTATAGCAATAACAACTACTTCATGCATTAATAGAGAATTGTAAAATATGGTAATGCAATTTATAAATGAATATTCTGTATTTTATAGTATTATTACCTTATATTCTTGTTATTCAACAATCTGTCATTTTTTTGTTGGAACTGTAAAGTCAAACTAATGCAACTTATTTTCTTCAAATAAGACGTGATAGATCTAACAATTCTTTCCCAAAAACCACCCCACCAGGCCATCTTTTTCACATTTAATTTCCACGCAATACCTTTATTACCAAAACAATTTTGAACTTCTGTGTCCTTGATGGTATTCCATCATTTTTGTAAATCCTTGTCTGCTCTTTTGAAGCTTTTTGCATTGTTTGAATATATCATTCGATATAATACTCTTCTTGAAATAAATCTTTTAAGGAACGGAAGAAAATTTTTTGCTGAACTAGACACTAGTTCCAGATACACAGCTCTTGTTACAGTGCATGTATACAGAGCAATATAAGCCTTCCCAGTTTCATCCTTAATACTCACAGGACCAGCAAAATCAAGTCCTACAACTTCAAAGAGATTTGCCTCTGTTATTCTTTCAATTGAAAGGAGTGATATACTAACTTAGTGGCTTAGCTTTAAATCTGTAGTTAATCACATGCTTCTTAATATTACTCCTTACACGCTGTTGACCCTTTAGTATCCAAAATTTTTCTCTAACTTCAGTTAAAGTTTCAGCTACACCAACATGTCCGTGCGTTTCGTGACAATCTTTAATGATGTGATCTGTCAAGTGAGACAGACTTCTTTGGTAATATTGCTGGATATGTTTGATTATAGCTTAACCCAGCATTTTGAAGCCTTCCACCAACTCTGAGTATTCCATTTGAGTCAACAAATGAATTTAATGTAAATATTTTCGAACTATCTGTTTTGTTTCATCTTTAATTTCCTTATTTCTTTAAAATTTTCTTCCTGAGTTTTCTTAATCCAGAAATTCTGTGCTTCAGTCATCTCTTCAGCCTTGACAAGTCCAGTTCTTCTTAGTTTTAGGTTTTTCATATTATTGATAAATCTGAAAACAATATGTTATTCTATATACTTTCTTTATGTCACTGAAGTTCTTGATAGGAATGATAGGTTCGCAGTTTTCAACAATACAGTTTACTGTTAAGATTTCTTGTTTCTTTCCTTTTCATTTCTCAGAAATTATTTTTCATCTTCATTAAAATTTCTCAAAGATCTGGGCCAAAAGTTGTTATCTTTAACAAGCCAAGGTGGGCCATACCACCACAGTTCATTTTTTGGAAGGGTTTCTACCTTCTGTTCTCTCGGCAATACATCCAAAGGATTCTCATGGCTGACAGTAATGCCACCAATCAGGATTAGTTTTCTCTTGGATTTCTAGACACCTATTTCATGCAAATTGTTTCCATTTCGTCGGATCAGCCTTGAACGAATATAGCTGATATATTCGTTCTTTAATATAAATTTCTGATAAATTTCTGAATATAAATAAAATATAAATTTCTGAATTTGTCTACATATAAATCTTCATTTCTAAATTCTTCAACAAATGTTGAATATATGTGATGAGTCAAGCTCCTATGAGTGCTTCTAAAAGCTCCAGTCAAGGTAACATGACCCTTTTTATGGAAGCAACTCTTGCTTTGGACATAACAAATGATATTTTTGTTAGCTCATTTTCATTGTATCTCAGATATGCAGTGGCACCATATCCCTTTTGGCTACTATCTGTAAAACAATGCAATTGAATATTTTCAACAGATTATTTTTTGATAGAATGTTGAAATAATGTCTTGGAATTTCAACATTTTTTAGTTTAGGAATTTCATTATACCATGTTTTAAATCGGTTCTGCAATTCTTGATCAAGGGGTGCATCCCATTGGTATCCTCTTTGCCAACATTCTTGCAACAACAAAGGGAGATATGAAAACGATAGGATCGTATAGTTAGTCTGCTGCTTGTAGAATCTTCCGTTTTGTTATTTCCTCAGCCGGATCTTTGAGTAATTCAACTTTAATTCAAAATTTCAGTCTGTCTGCTTCATAATTCCAAATATATCTATCATATTCCAAATATAATATAAATATATAAAGTGCTGTTCATTCCATCTCCATTAAACTCAGTATTTTCAGCCACATTCCAAATTGTGTGTAATTGGGTGTTATTGTTCCTCCACTTTCTCATGTTGAAACTAGCAAGCATTATAATCCTTTTCACATCTTCATAAATTTCTGCAGCTTCTTCATCACCTGTACCATGAATCAAATCATCTACGTAAATGTTTTCTTCAAGAAGCTGACAGATCTTCGAATATTGTGGTTTCATCTTTCTTGTGTGATGCTTTATAGTTGCTGCTAGTAAAAAAGGGCTACAGATTGCTCCAAATATTGCACGTGTCATTCTTAAAATCATTGGTTGCTCCTTTTCTTTTGCAATCCAAATAAATCTTACTGCATTTCTGTCCTCAAGCTTCAACAGAATTTGTAGAAAAGCAGCTTCGTTATCTGCAGCAAATGCTGTTTTGTGTTGACGAAAATTAATTAGCAAGTCTAATAATTCAGGATTTAAATTTGGTCCTGAATGTAAGCAATCATTTAAAGATAAACTGTTATGAGTATGTGAGAAAGCATCAAATATGACCCTTAACTTTGTAGAATCATGATCTTCTCTGATAACACAGTGGTGTGGCAAAAAAAAATAGATGTTTTCTGCAGAATTCTTTGGAGCCTTTTCAGCTGTTTCTTTATTTAGATAGTCTTCAATTACCCTTGAATACTTGTCATAAATTTCAGAATTTTTTTTAAACCTTTTAAGTAAACTGTTCCATCTGTTTAAGGGGAATGTTATAATTACTACCCATTTTGTTGACATTGTCTTTCCAAGGTAATGAAACTTCATAACAAATGTGTTTATATTCACTTGTTTCTTCAAATCTCCGCATAACTTCAGTGTCATTTTCATTTGTTGTATAGTCAAGTATTCTAATTGCATCTAAATTCCATAGCCTTTTTAGAGCTGCACTAGTTTTAAAATCATGTGCATGTGAAATTTTCTCAACAACATTTGTTACCATAATTCTGGAATGATGTTTAGAAACATTACTTAATGCTTCAGTTCCACTTACAGTGTAATTAAATAAGGTTTCAGAGGCAACAAGACCCTTTGATAATCTTTTAACCTTCCCAGTCACTATTATCCAATAAAAATCATTACCGATTAATACTGATATTTGAGGGTTATGGCCACCTATATTTACAGTATCAGCAAGTCTTAAAGAATTTTACTTAACAATAATTAAGTATTTCCTTTCCTGGCATACCAATAGCAGCTTGGTTAATTTCTGGAGCTTTCAAGAATTCATTATTTTTCCAGGTCCACATATATCTTTAAGAATAACCTTAATCCTTTTTTAGCCTTTTAACTATAGGCTCAGTAGAGCCGAAGGTGTAAATGTGAAGTTCTTTCTTCCCCCCACAACATTTAATTTCAGTCGTTTTGATACTTCTCTCAGGATGAAAGATTTATGAGAGGCAGAATCAAAAATGAGTCTTTCATTTTTTCTTCTATTCTGGCCTAAAACTATTGAATTTGCAGTCTGTAAATAAACCTTATTTTTGTTATGTCTTTCCGAAATTGAGGCCACCACTGTGTCTGTTTTAAGCTCACCTTTGTTTTCTCGTTTATTTTCAAATTTATTATCATGTAAAATAGTTTTATGCCTTAATGAACATAAATCACACAACGTGTATCTGGGCTGACCTATGAGCTTTATGAAAATACAAATAGCACATGCCAGCCATTTTTAATTTCTTTCTTTTCTCCTCAATTGGAATTGTGCAATTTGAAGGGGAATGTTTCATTTTCTATCTTCCCACAAAATATACAATCGGCTGTTGATGCATTCATATTCAATGACGCAACCCCTCGGACAAAATGTTTATTTTTAAAGGCAGTATGATATTTTTCACTTCTAATAAGGTCTCGCGATTAATGTATATGTTGTTTGCTTCTGATGTTAAACTCATAATTTGGTGATGTTTGAAAAATGTACATGTTGCAAAAAATGAGGTGTGTGATTTGAAAGAAATATAAAAGTAAAGTAACTTTACCCCCAAAGGATGACAATTCAAATAATACAAATCAATTAATATTTAATATATCTTTACATCATTAAATTTTGAATCAGTACCAGCATAAATTAAGTAAATATTGCCAGACAGAAGAAGAATAGTCCTACCATTTTGAACCCTAACCTCTCGTACGAGATGTGCGTAATATTCCAATCAAAGTAGATCTCATTCCATCAACGTAAAGCAAAGTTTCATGATAAAAATAGACAAATTTTTTAACGGCGGAAATTGAGTTAGCTGGTTATTCCAATATATTTTTGAAGAAGCACAAGGTGAATACTTGTATCATCCAGAAAGTTGTAGCACATGCACATGAAGTCTTTTCGAAGATTTTTAAATTGTAGAACATTAATAATTATCGGCGGTTGTTAAGTATATAGATCTTTTTAGTTGTATCTTCACTTCCAGTTTCTTTACTAGAAGGAATACCATGTCTCTACATCCAGCAACAGAAGTGGCAGTAAAAAGAAAAAAGAACTAAAAAGAACAAAAATGGTACACTCGTCGGCTGGGGTGAGAACAGCCAGAAGGCCATCCTACACCTTCGGAGCCATGCTGACACGTGGGGTTTTCGAAATGAAAATTATTTAATCCAAAATATCACTGACAAAAAAACTCAAAACATCATTGTAGCAAATTATTTAAAAGAGTTCCTCTGAGGTCAGATTTAACTATTTAATAGCATTGTTTTCATCGAACTTGTTTTTTCTTGTTCACTAAGAAAAAAAGAAAAAGAATTAAAGAATGAAAGAAAAAATTAACACGTTTTGTGTTTGATTATGAATGTAGTGGAATTAGTTCCAATTAATTTTTTTTTGAGTTTCTTGGTTAGTATGGGTGTAGATTGGCCACCTTCATTTATACGTTTGGTCATAAGGTCATGGAATTTCAAAAAAGAGGAGAGTAACAAAAAAATTCTAGAACACTTAGTGGTTATTACAAGTATCCAGCTAGTAATGAAAATTTTGCTATTTTAACAATTTGAGTAATTTGGAATAACTAAGTTGTAAATGAAAATTGTAGAAGAATCATTCTTACACATTTACAAAAATTATAAGAAAAAATTGATGGTATTTAAAAGAGTTGATAAAAATGATATGATTTGAAAAGCGTTAAGTAAGAGATATTATAGTGATCAAGTTGTTAACAACAGTGAAAGATTGTATGAAATATGAGGTGTATTCAGTTACAAATATAATGTGTCTACAGATTGTAGTGACGTTTTATGCTACTGTATGTGAAACATGTATGTAATAGTTCTTAGTTTTAATTTTAATTTAACTCACATGTGTAGCAGCTTATCCCCAAAATTTTTTTATATTTATACCAGACAAAGAGATTTTGATAATTTAATATTTTATCATAATTTGGATTATGCCAGACAGATATATTCGATTAAGTTAACATGTGCTTATTTCAAATGGACAACATATTTTAAAATTCTGATTTACAACAAATAATTTACTACAACATAATTTCAAATATACCAAGTTTCATCTGCAAATTAGTGTTGAGCTTCATCAAGATATTGTGATATGATATTGTGAACTGTGCTACGTTTCTTCTTCTTTGGCTGAAGGGAATGTGTGCAGGCAAGCCTCCACATTTATTCAACATCAAATGTGTTCACTGTGACTGCTGAATGACAAGGCAAAATTGACGGCTACGACCGGTTTCTCCGTCTTCTACTGTTGGGCTCCGAAGGTGTAGCACGGCCTGGCAGTCCTCACCCCGGCTGGCGAGTGTGCCCTTTTTGTTCTTTTTCGTTCTTTTTTTTTTTTTTTTTTTTTTTTTTTACTGCCATTTCCGTTGCTGGATTTAGAGTCATGGTATTCCTTCTAGTAAAGAAATTGGATTTTAAGATACAACTAAAAAGGTCTATATACCTAACAACTGCTGATAATTATTAATGTTCTACAATTTAAAAATCTTCGAAAAGACTTCATGTGCACATGCTATAATTTTCCGGATGATATAAGTATTCGCCTTGTGCTTCTTCAAAAATATATTGGAATAACCAGCTAACTCAATTCATGCCGTTAAAAAATGTGACTTTTTTTATCACGAAACTTTTCTTTACGTTGATTAAATGATATCTACTTTGATTGGAATATAACACACATCACGTATGAGAGGTTAGGATTCAAAATGGTAGGACTGTTCTTCTTCTGTCTGGCGATATTTACTTAATTTATGCTGGTACTGATTCAAAATTTAATGATGTCAAGGTATAATAAATATTAATTGATTTGTATTATTTGAATTGTCATCCTTTGGGGGTAAGATACTTTAATTTTATATTTCTTTCAGATCACACACCTCATTTTTTGCAACAGTAGCTCTCTGCTTTCAACTTCTTTCTTCAGAAATTCCAAAATATTAGTCACTGTGGTTTCTGTGTCGGGGGTTAATGATTGATTGAACTCTAAAACTTATTCGCTAGGAAGTATTCTCATTAACAGTGGGTATAACAAATAGCTGTAAGAATTCGAAGTAATGTTATGGGAATCAAGGCTTCTAATTTCAGTTTCTAAACTATCATATAAGTTACGTAATGTTTTAATATCATCCATTTTTTTTACTGGCTTTAAATTCAGCAGACGATTCATGTGTGCATTTATTAAAATTTCCTTTCTGCCAAACCTTTCTTTCAGAATATTTATTGCCTGGCGTAATTTTCGGCAATTAATGGTAAGCCTTTATTGATATTAAAGCTGTGTCCATTAGTAAAGATTTGAGGTAATTAAATTTGTCTACATCCTTTAAAGTGGAGTTATATATAGCAGATTTTTATTGAGCCCAAAAACTTTGAATTAGTTTCTGAAGTTTAGTGCCATTTGTATATATATTCTCTACCATATCTATAGTAGAAGAATTAGATGGCATCTCATTTAATTTAATACATATTCTTTTTTCTAAATATTCTTTGATCTTCGATTTGCACAAGGTAATTTTATTTTTATATTCCAAGCTATGCTGTGTTTCAATTTCGCACTTTTTTTCATCTGTTATTACAGATTCAGTTTCAGTATTCAGTAGTAATAATTCGTTTTCATTTAAGATGGATAAGTCATCTTCTATTAAGTCAAATTTAAATATTATCTGATTGTATTTCCCTTTCCATTTTAGCTATCATTCTTGTAACTAATGCTCTTAGTTCTTTTTTAGTGCTTTTAACTTATTCATCTTAATAATCAATATTCAATCACTAATCAAACAATAATAAATATGTAAATCACAATATATCTAAAGGATCACTGTTAACTCGGGACTTTGGCACCATTTTAAAATCATTGTACTTTTTCCCGTATTTATATTTTCTTATTCTTATTTTTAACATTTGATAAATAATCTTTTGCTTACCTTTCTTGATGATTTTACAAGATGCTTGGAATTCTTTGCCATTTTAGTTTTCACACGGAACTTTATTTTACAACTATTTACAACAATTGTATGTTTAAATTAGAACGTTCATCATTTTACTCTGATTGCCACTACATTTATATCAAAATCCGCAATGCGGTAAGAAAAATATAAGAAGCATAAAAATAAAAGGGCCACGCTCTCTCATGGCTAGTAACATAAACTATAGCAATGGGTCCCAGTTGGCACCTGATTCAAGGAGCATTTTTCTGAATTCATCTTACTGAAATAGCTACTGAGAAGCTTACACTTTAATCCCATTGAAAATTATTGGTATATTCTGTAAAATGATGTGCAAGCACATCATCCACCACTAGCATCCTTGACTAATTTAGGAATATTCTAGAAAAAGTCTGGAACATAGTTCTGGAACACTTTTGTAAGCTATTTTAATCTATACATTGCCAAGCTGTTATTAAGACTGAAGAAGCAGCAATTCTTGTCTAATTAGGTATTCGATTTACTGACACTTCTTTGTAAAAAACATTGTTCAATATGGGGGCATCAGATGTTAATTAACACTTTCAAGACGAGCGTCCCATATACGCATTCCCTAAGAATGTCTCTTATAGCCGGGCGTCCCATCCACGCATCACTAGAGATTGCATTCAGAGGATGGGTGATGCGTATACGCATTTTAAGGTGGAACATTTTTCTGATGGCCACTAGATGGCATCCTATGTCCATTACTTTTGAAATGAACACAGTTTTAGGTTCCTGACCTTGAGTTTCTGCCAGATATATTCTGTCTGACTTTGGTACTTTACTCATCAACTGTTACGAAGGGGGAAGCGAAAGCGTAAACAGAGGTGGGCTCTTTAATACGCCGTGCATGCTAATGTAAATATTCGCGTGTCTGATTTATATCCAATTACCTTTTTTTATTCTATTTTTTCCCGCTACTATATACGGTCTTTTAGGGTTACTAGTGTGGATTTCTCCAGTCATGTTTTGTATTGCCTTCAGATATATTCCGTTTTTTCTCTTTTTATTTCTGGAAAGCCTCACCTCCAGTCTATTATGGCGGGGGAAGGCGCTATTTCATGAGGAAGAATACCCTCGTATGGTTAGTGAACCGTTTACTAACGCAAATGATGAGAGTGATGATTCATTTTCTAAAGAGTTAGAAAGTGAAACTTTTTCTAAGAGTTAGAAAGTGATACTCTCGTGCTTCGAGAATTTTCCACGCTCAGTCTTCATTATAAATTTTGTTACTTCTTAATGTAAATATTCTTTATTGTGTTGTTTTATTTTAATTTTATGGATTTTAATCAATTAATACTTTAAGAATAATTGATACCGCTTCCGAAATTATTTACAGATAAGCGATTTTTTTAGTATATTTTCATGTAAAATAAAGGAAAAAAACATTATTAAGTGCTAATTTTAACATATATAAGTGCTCAAGTAATAATCTAAAATGATACCAAAAATTACGATACTAGAAGCGAAACTTTTTTTTTTTTTTTTTTTTTTCGATTTTTTTTTTATAAAATTAGGTTTAGCGATGCAAAACCTTCGTCCTGTGCTGAGACCGTCTTCAATTCCCTTCCATCCCGCACGAGCGTCTTAAACAAAGGTGCGCTGTCACAAAAGGGTTAAGGCATTAAATAATTCCTTTTCCAATTCTTATTTTGCCTCAGAATGATTAATTTTTGTATTAAATATTTTTCTTGTGATCAGTTATGGATGTTATTGTTATTTTCATTTTTTGGTAATTTTGTGTGCATATTATAATTACTTGCTTTTTTTCTTTTAGATGGAGAAGATGAATATCAAAATAGTTATATCGTTTTATTTATTTTTATATTTGAAATAAATTTTTATTTATCATATTATGTGTTTGTTTATTTAATATTGAAGGTGAATATATTCTTAATATACCGTAATTTCCGGAAGAAACACTGCTGCGTTTACGTGTTGGTGGATTAAATTTTCAGCGGGGGCCCCATTCTACCCATGCAACGTTTAGGTGCACTAAAAATGAAATATTTCCTATGATGGTCATTGTACATAGTTTGAATAACTTTGTCACTGTATACAATTTGGTTGGCCTTGTCATTGTACATAGACTGGTGCTGTTCCCACACAAAAGACCACTTTGGTTTACTTTAACACTGAAACCTATGGCGTTTGTATCACATAACTCTTTTTCATTGTGCGTTGTATAATGATGAGATTATGAAAGCCACAGTTTTTTCCAAATACGATTTAATATATCTCATTAAAGCAGTTTTTACTGCATTTCACGCATTTTTTTCACACATATTCTTGTACAAACATCTTTACTTTCGTAAAACGGTAAAAACTCTAAGCACAAAATTTATGAACTTAATTTTGCATAAAAGTAAAATAAAATTAAATAATATTGATAGTACGTGATCCTTTGAAATAAATAAGGTAAAATTAAACAAGATCTGATTTTTTTTTTTTTTTAAATTTAATGAACATTTTCAGGCAGTGATTTTCTAATCTATAATAACATTACGAAATGATCATATTTGTTATATGATCATTAAATTATTAATATTAAAGTGGATTAGTTATTTTAATATTTCATAAAATTCGGAGCGTAATGAAGGGAAAAAAAGATAAATTAAATCTAGAAGCACTCGTTTTGTAAAGTTTTGTGTGTTACCTATATTTATTGAATATCATGTTCTTTGCTCGTAAACCACATTCACTTGAAAACAGCATATCTTTAGAATTTCCATGCTGGAGATAAAACTGTTATATTCCGTACAATACTCGCTCTGAACTCGTTGAGTTTGTTAATCAAAAATTCATTAAAGTTTTACAAAATATGAAATAAATTAAAATAAAATTGGAATTCGGCGGTCCAGATGCCTATGTTCGGTGGAGATACATTTTTCAAAATTTGATGGTCTAGTACTGTCGTTTTTTGTCACAGTGCGAGAACAACATGCATGCATATTCATTTATTTAATAATCATGCAGATCTCATTACATCAAAAGTCTTAAATCAGACACCATAATCCGGATGATCTATAATACGGATCAAGCTGCAATTTTTCTGCGCATGCGCGGTTGATGCATGCTCATGGCGTTTTTACGCGTGCGCGCAAGACATTGACGTACTGTGCAAGCAGAATACATTTTCGCGTGCGCGTTTTAATGTATAGCGAACGTATAAGCTAAAATTATCTAATTATCTATTTCAGGTAATGTTGATGATTGCGTTGTTCCTTAATCTTCGAATTGGATCCGGCTTATTATTTTTTGCAGACTGTAGAGCATTTTTATAAAAGTAAGCTTGAACTTTCGATTATGTTAAATAGAATTTGATGCTGGAGCTCCCAAGGATCTGGAAACGAAAGTATTATTCGATTCCATGAAAAAAAATGAATTGCTACAAAAAATGGATAAAGGTATTTGTTTATCTAAACGTTCCGAAATCTGTTTATCAATTTACGCTGCTCTGCGCGTGGGGGGGGGCATCGCAGCACGCAATGAACTGGAAGTTGATCTGTGAGCACTATCTTCATCTTCAGAGCAGATGTTTTTATTTTATTCAACTTATAATTCCTTACTAAATGTAGTGTTTCATCTCGATGTACTCTGAAATGAATTAAATCAATTTCCTCGTCATTTTAAATATCACAAATACATATCCAATAGTTTTCTGGCTGCAATTTTATAATTTCGACTATGCGTAATGTATGCTTTACACATGCACACGTTGTAAGAAATGTTTAATAAAGTAACCAAATAAATATTAAGCTGTTTTTTTTTATAAATTTTGATACCTTTACATCATAATTGCTCTTTATTTCATAAATTATGGTTTCA